TTTGTTTGTTCTTGTAGTAACAGTCCATCTGCCTCCATTTTTTCTGCAGGTCTTTCTTTCAAGAGGTATCTTTTATTCTTCTAGCCGCTCCAGGCTGGTCTGCTCGTCCTTTCAGGTGGAGATTTCTTATCTCTGGAGATCTGGATGTGGTTCCGGTTTCTACCTATAGTTTTATGTATTGCAGAGTCTCTGCAGGAAGCCTCGTTGGGTATGCTGTAGCCCCATTTTAGGTATTCCAATCAGTCATAGGCAGAAGATGGACTTAGAAGCCTTCTAGTATGATGTTCCTGACTATTCCTTTCTCTCCCTCTCCAGTGTCTACTCTGTGCTGCCCGGTCAGGGAAGCACCAGAAGTCCCATAGTTTACTTTTAAACTAAATTTATATTTATGCCAATGTCTTGATTACTGTTGTTTTGTAGTAAATTTGAAAACTGAGAAGTATGTGCTATCCATCTTGGTTATTTTTCAATATTGTTTTGGTGTTTTGGGTCCCTTGAGTTTTTTTTACAGAAGCCTTGGTGGTGCACTGGTTAAAGGGCTAGGCCGTTAATGAAAAGGTTAGATTTGAATCCACCGGCTGTCCCATGGAAGAAAGATGTGGCAGTCTGCTTCTGTAAAGATTTTCAGCTTTGGAAACCCTATGGGACAGTTCTACTCTGTCCTGTGGGAAAGCTATGAGTCGATAGCAGTGGGGTAAAATTTTTTGTTTTGACTTTTCCTGTGAATTTTAAGATTGGCTTGTCACGATTTGCAAAAAAAAAAAAAAAGGTCATTGAAATTTTGGTAGGGAGTTTTTTGAATCTAGATAAATTTGTGGACTATTGTCATTTTAACAATAATAAGTTTTCTAATCTATGATCGTAGGATGCCATTCTATTCCTTTAGATCTTCCTTAATTTCTTTTAATAATGTTTTATAGTAGTATAAGTTTTATACTCCTTTTATAGTATTATTCCTAGGTATTACATTTTTTTGATGCTACAGTTATTTTCTGAATTGTTTTTTCAGGTAGTACATTGGGTGAATGTACCAAAGTTTGTTTACTCATTTTTCTATTGATGGGCATTTAGGCTATTTCCATCTTTTTGTGGTTGTCAATAGTGTTGCATGGTTGTGCATATATTTACTCGTGTCCCGGCTTTTAATTCTTGGGGATGTATGCCAAGTAGAGGGATTGCTGGGATATATGGTATTGCTATTTCCAACTTTTTGAGAAGGAGCCATATTGTTTTCCATTGTGGTTGCACCATTTCAGAGAATACTGTGCTATTCAATATTCTTTCCAAATTCTGTCCAAGCAAAGAATTTTGAAGTGTTTTATGAAGAAGAATTTAGTATATGAAAATGTGTGACATCATGTATGTATTTTAAAGAACATTATTTAATATTTCTTTATATCTCTTAATTTTAGGAAACCAAATATCTTTTGCCATCTTTGGAGAAAGAATTATTCTTGGCAGAGCACAGTGACCTTGAAGAAGGTGGACTGGACCTTACTGTGTCATTAAAGCCAGTTAGTTTCTACATATCAGACAAAAAAGAAATGCTTCAGCAGTGCTTCTGTATCATAGGGGAGAAGAAGTTACAGAAGATGCTTCCTGATGTGTTAAAGGTACTTCATTATATACCTTATCAGACCATATGCAGTTTGTAGTGATCATCTTACATATGCACTTTATAATCAAATGTTTTCAACTAGAATAAGTCAATTGAAAAGACATAAAAAAGATTTTTGAGTATTGTAAATGCTCTTGTGCTTTGAAATATTTGCCAAGAAAAAATGAAGCTATATGTTGTTGTTAAGTGCCATTGAGTCGATTTCGACCCATAGCGACCCTGTATAGGGTGTCTAAGGAGCAACTGGTGAGCTTGAACCGCCAACCTTGCAGTTCAAATGGCTTTGCAGTCTGGCACATTAACCCACAGCGCCACACTAACCAATGGAAATAATTCTGTTAAATGCAGACAATGTTGTTGTTGTTGTTGTTGTTAAGTGCTGTGGAGTTGATTTTGACTCATAGGGAACCTACATAGGGTTTCTGAGGCTGTAAATCTTTACGGGAGCAGAAAGCCTCATCTTTCTCCCATGGAACAGCTGGTAGTTTCGAACTGCTGACCCTGAGAATAGCAACCTGATTGGTGGAATAATGAATGCTTCTGGTGCTTTACAAAATAATACAATAGTGTACTGCTATATAACAATGCACACCAATGATTATTAGATAGTAGCTAGTTTCATTAAATTCACAAGGGTTTTCATGCATATATTGCTGAAAATTAACTAGGGAAAAGCAAAGCACTATTTTGATCTTATAGTTGTGGGGAAAGAGCTTGGATAGGTTAACCCAAGATCATCTATCTAAAAAGTATAGAGCCAAGACTTGAATATATAAACCTTTCAAATAATTGCCTGACATCAATAGGCAAAAATTAAGAATACCTGGCCACTTGACTTACTCTTTAGTTTAAATTAGATATAATTTTATGTACTCCCACCAAATTTTTAGAAAATATATATATGTTAATTGGCAGTTTGATAGTTTTTCATATTGCGTTCTATGAAAAGATTTATGTGAATCTATTTGAGACTTACCATTGGTTCTCTTGTGAGATTTTGCTTGCTAGATTTTTTTCGTGTTGTTGAAGTTTTCCAGTTTACATTACAAAATGCACTTTTTATTTTTTTTTAATATCATTTTCCTTAGAACTGTTCAATAGAAGAAATTAAAAAACTATGCCAGGAACAGTTAGAGCTTCTGTCTGAAAAAAAAATCTTGAAGATTCTTGAGGGTAAGAATACATATTTATATATTTTAGTAACTTATGTATTCAATATAAATCCTGACGTATTCTTTTTTTTTTATTTTGGACACTTAATTTTATTAACAGGTAATTATTGAAGAGTATTTTTACTTATGTATGTACTGAGAAATATAATTTCTATATCAGAATAATATTTCAGCATTTGCTTCGTGTATAGTTTTTCTAAATCATGAGTATATAGTTAAGTGTAAAAAGTTTGTTGTTGTTGTTAAGTGCCTTCGAGTCGGTTCCGACCCATAGCGACCCTGTACAGGGTTTCCGAGGGTGTAAATCCTTACGGGAGTAGAAAGCCTCATCTTTCTCCCGCGGAGCAGCTGGTAGTTTCGAACCGCTGACCTTAAGGTTCGCAGCCCGATTCGTAACCACTACGCTACCAGAGCTTGTACATAGTAGTAAAATGAAATAAAAATATTTACTCAAAATATTATAAAAATTAATTATTAGAAAGATGAAGATTTCTCATAAGATAATGTTTTACTTGCTGTTTTATTTTCTTCATAGTTTTAGTTGGCCCTTTGCATGCTATTTCTGCTCTAATCAGATCCAGGTTTCAAGTTAGAAGAATTCCTTATAGTTTGCCAACATTCATGTATACCTGAAGTATGACTCCTCTTTGTAATATAATTTATTAACTTAAGAATTTTGGATTGTCAAGCTTTTTTCTTTTGAACATGTGATGACATTTTCATGAGCATTGTGAGTAGGAACAAAAATAGAGACGTTCTAGAGTAACTTGCTTTTTAAATGTTTAGTGGTTTAATGAGATTTTATAACTGGTAATAGGTGTATATTGTTGTTGACGTTAAGTGCTGTTGAGTCAGTTCTGACTCATAGCAACCCTGTATAGGACTTTGGAGGAATGGCTGGTAAGTTTGAACCACTAACTTTATGGTTCAAACCAATCTTATAGTTGAGTGCTTATCCTATAGTGTCACATCATGATACCATAGTTGTATATAGTCATTCATATTCTTGTGTATATCTCTCTATATACAAGGAAGCTTCTAAAAGTTCATGGAAAAATTCCAATATAATATAATTCCATTTATCTAATGAACATTTTGAAGCTACCTCACATAATGCAATAAGGAAAGACCATGAGAAATAGCTAATAAGTAATTTAAAATATAAACAATTAAAATATAAATATGAGGGACTTCACAAAGCTCATGGACAAATTTCATTATCTTGTAATTCCATTTTCTGTGTACTTTTAATATCCTCCTCATAAGAGCATTTGGAGTCCTGGTGTGCACTGTAGGGTAAGCACTGAACATCTAACCACAAGTTTGGCTGTTCAAGCTCACCACTCGCCTCTTGGAAACCCTATACATGGTCTCTAGGAGTCGGAACTAACTCCATATCCTAAAACAACAACATGTAAGTATTTAAAAATGTAACGTGTTAACAACTTATAAAGTTCCTTAAATTGCATCACTTTTAAGGTTGACCCTTTTTATCTGATTGAATACTTTTAATATCTTTATAAGCATGTTTTATATTGTTTATTTCATTTATAAGGTGACAATGGTATGGATTCTGATATGGAAGAAGAGGCGGATGATGGCTCTAAGATGGGATCTGATTTAATCAGTCAGTAAGTTAAAAAACTTTCATTTCTATTTTTAAATGTCTTTAGTTTTCTTATGGTGATTTCATATCTCATGGATGTGACTGTTTTACTATATTTTATTCAGATCAAATAGCTCTACAGCATAGAGCCTTACAATGATTGTTTCTTTTGATATATGTGAAAATGAAGTTCACTGCTTTCAGGATTAATCTGATTTTTGGAAACTATTACATATAGGCTAGCAGGGGTGTCAACCTAAAGCAGATTCATAACTCTTCTTAGAATTTGAATACATTACTCATAATAACCACTGTTTACTAAGTACATACAATGTATCGGGCAAGGAACCCTGGTAGTGTAGTGTATTCTAAATTGGACTAACCACAAGATCAGCAGTTTGAATCTGTCATGTGTTCCCGGGGAGAGCGATGAGGCTTTCTGCTCCTGTAAAGATTTATAGCATTGGAGACACTCCCTATACAGGGTTGCTTGGAGTTGGAACCAACTCCACAGCATACAACTACCACCTCCATTTGCCACCATGTCTCAGATGCTATACTAATAGCTTGCATTAGTTTATCTTATTGAATTCTTCTACATATCTCTTAATGTTAAGTTGAAATAGAGTCGTTTCATAGATGAGATAGTAAGATGGTTTGTTTTATATATGTTTATGTAATTTTATTATTGTGATGTTAAAAAATGCCTGAAATTTTGAGATATAGACTAATTAAGAAGAAGCATGTTAATTGCTTTGTTTTGTACAATTCAGCTCTACCATTGCTCATCAATCTTTCACCCATTTGTTTTGGTATCTATTGATGATTTTTGTGTTAAAAAAATATTTCTTTGGTGATTGTCAAAGACTTCCTTTCTGTCTCTCTGCATCTCATGGAATAAGAAAAGATTTGTGCTACCGATATAGATAGTAGCACATATAGGAGATAACTGGAGGCAGTAGTATAAATAAGTAGCACATATTTAACTTGAAATCTTAAGTACTTTTCCATTTTTAATAGCTAGAATGCTGTTGGGTAGGTATCACTGAAAAAGGATAATTTTATTTCTTTTTATAACTCTGGAGAGCACTGAATTATCTATCTGTAGTGAAGCATTCAGAAGCTCATCATATTGCTTGGTTGCCTCATAATCAAAAGACTTTATTTTAGATCATCATTTATCAAGCCTAGGGATGCCATGGGGTGATTTATACGTAACATCGTGCTTGGTAAAGTAGAGGGTCAGTAAACAAGAGAGAAGACTCTCACCAAGATGGATTGACATAGTGACTGTAAGATTGGGCTCAAACATAACAACAATGGCGAGATGGGAGAAGGACCAGGCAGAGTTCTGTTCTGTTCTGTTCACTTAACAACAACAGCAAGCAGAAAAGACTTGTATTTCTAAAAAGTCTTACTATTGCATTTCTTTTGAAAAATATGTAGCTTTGAATGAAGGAGACCTGGTGGCTCAGTGTTAAGTGCTCAGCTGCTAACCATAAGGTCAAGAATTTGAACCTGCCAGCCAGTCTATGGGAGAAAGATGTGACAGTTCGTTTACATAAATATCATGGCCTTGGAAACCTTATAAGACAGTTCTACTCTGATTATATGGTTGCTAGGAGTCAGAATGGACTCCCTAACAATGTGTTTTAGCTTAAATTGTTTTATGTAGTTTATTAATATAAGTCAGGAAGTTTAAGCATTTATAAAGTTGATAACTATTTGTACTTTCAGATTTGTTAAATTATCTAAAGTGACACTTTACTGAATATTATAAGAGAATCCTTCATTGAAAATTTACATGATTACATTTGTTTTCCCTTTGTTCAAATCTTACCCCTTTGCCCCAGTTTTTGGGCATTGTCAAGGTTAAATGCTTTTATTCACACCTAAACAAAAGTGCTGCCTATTCTACTATTTATTGTTGTTAGGGGCCATCAAGTTTGTTCCTACTCTTAGCAACCCTGTATAGAGTTTCTGAGGAGCATCTGGTGAATTTGAACTGCTGACCTTGGCAGTTCAAACTGACCTTGTGGTCCAGTGGGGTTAGTAGTCCAGTATTTATCCTACAGTACCAAGCCATGAATTACAGATAGCCAGTTAGAGAAGGGGAACTGTGGTGGCTCCATTTGATAAGCACCAGATTGTAAACCACAAGGTCCTGGTTGTTAGGTACTGTCAAGTTGGTGCCGACCCATAGCAACCCTATGTACAACATAATGAAACACTGCCTCATCCTGTGCCATCCTCACAATTGCTGCTACCTTGAACCCATTGAAGCTGCCACTGTGCCAGTCCATCTCATTAGGGATCTCACTCTTTTTCACTAACCTTCCACTTTGCCAAGCATGCTGTCCTCCAGGAACTGGTCCCTTCTGATAATGTGTCCAACGTATGAGAGACCAAGTCTAGCCATCTTGACTTCTAAGGAGCATTCTGGTTTTACTTCTTCCAACACAGTTTTATTTGTTCTTCTGGCAGTCCACGGTACCTTTAATAAATAGAAGGACATTATGCTTGGTAAAGTGGAGGGTCAGTGCTAAAAAGGAAGGCCCCCACTTAGATGGAATTGGCTTGATGACACCTAACAAAAACAGCAAGCGTAATAATAAAATGGATACACATGCATCCACTATCCAATTTGAAAGCTAAAAGATTACCAGTACAATTTATCTCCTTGTTATGCTGTAAAATGCATCTCCCTCGTAGTGGTTACAAATCTGGCTGCGAACCTCAAGGTCAGCAGTTTGAAACTACCAACTGTTCTGTGGGAGAAAGATGAGGCTTTCTGCTCCTGTAAAGATTTACAGCCTCGGAAACCCTGTACAGGGTCGCTATGAGTCAGAACTGACTCCTCAGCACATAACCACCACCACCCACCAAGTATTTGAAAATAAAGGTGGTAAGTTGCTCTTCTGAAAAATAAACACATGTATGGAGACAGAATAATGATCCCTTCCCTCGAAGACGTTGACATCCTGTTTCCTATAACCAGTGAATATGTTAATCTACATGATAAAACCACCACTCGTCTGTCATTTTGTCATACTGTGGTGGCTTGTGAGTTGCTGTGATTCTGAAAGCTATGCAACTGGTATTTTAAATACCAGCAGGGTCACCCATGGTGGACAGGTTTCAGATGAGCTTCCAGACGAAGACAGACTAGGAAGAAGGAGTGAAGAACTACTTACAAATATTTATTCACTAAAAACCTTATGAAAGCAGAGAAACACTGTCAGATATAATGCCAGAAAATGAGCCCCTCATGTTGGAAGGCACTCAAAATGCGACTGGGGAAGAGCTGCCTCCTCAAAGTAGAGTTGACCGTGATGGTGCGAATGCAGTAAAGCCTGTTGAGAAAAGCCTGTGGGACCTTCATTTGCTGAACTCAAAATGAAGAGAAACAGCTGTAAACATCCATTGAAAATTGGAACATGGAATGTACCAAGTATGAATCTGGGAAAATTGGAAGTTGTCAAAAATGAAATGGAACGCATAAACATCAATATCTTAAGCATTAGTGAGCTGAAATTGGCCATTTTGAATCTGATAACCACATGGTTTACTATGCCGGGAA